TGAAGTCATTGTCATTCGTGTTAGATTCAACCACATGTAGATTATCAATCGCTATATTGCGAGTTGGTTGCTCAATTTCATCAAATGACTCATCACCAGAGTTGCCGAGACTTTCATCACTTGAATTTTCCCCTTCACTGTCAAATTCGGACTCAGAATCATGAAAAACGAGAGATATTGCTTCCTCACATGTAAACGACGCCATTTTTAAATGCCCTTCGACAACACGTGCAAATAAACCACAACAATTTCACTCGCAAATACCCTAAACTACAACAAATTCGCTTCGATTTTGCTTGAATGTCTTTCTTGTTGCTCAGTAGCTTTGTAACCACGTATTATTATGAAAAACTAGCTTTGATTGGTCAATAGAGAATTAAATTTGGCCAAGTGGTTAGCGCACTTGCCTTTCACCTCTGAGGCTGCAGGTTCGAATCTCACTAAGTACCTTCTCAGTGCGACTCGAACCCAGTCCCCATGTGAAAAGAGTAAAAGTCAACGCTCTGCCGAACGCCGTGGGTTTTCCCCGGGTACTCCGGTTTCCTCCCACAGGGAAAAGTTGACAGGGTGGGTTAGGTAAAAAGGGCCCACAGTAATTGGCATATGCTGTTGTGGTGACCCTGCCCTAGTTGGCGAAGCTAATAAAAACAAAAAACAAAAAAATTTGATTGGTTAAAATTCGCTTTAATATTTGTCGACTAAAGTCGCCTGTGGCAGCCTTCCATAATGTCGACAAAAGTCGCCTATGGCAGTGAAAGAGTTAAATCTATTTAAAAACAATACTAGCTGACAATTTCATAAAAGATATAATATAAAACATAGTCCAAGGATCAGTCTGATGATGATTTTGCAATAAAATCGAAATATTACAAGCTCATTATTGCTGCCGAGCGTAGCGAGGCAGCACACTATTCTTGACACGCGGTGGTTTCTCCAGAGTCCACTCGACCCAGTCTTTCGCGCGAGTTATGTATTGTCGAGATCGAGATCTTGTGTCTGTCTGTAAAGATGTTTGTCATAATCCGGGGGGAATAATTAAGCTTCAGGAACGTTTGTTAAATGAGGGGAGCGGTCAAGCTTTTAAATACGGATGCAAGACAGCAAGAGATCAAAAATATTCGGAAACATTCAGGTAAGTTCGGCTCTATTTTTTTCTTCTTATATACATCAAGGCAATGACCTTTTTAGTGTTCAATCTAGAGGCAAACAATGTGCTTTTATGAGTTTATCAGCACTTTTAACTGCCCAAAATATACCACTGATCGATTGGTCAAAAACAACATTTAATCGTCTTATTTAATACAAGGAGACAAAATGTACTTGCAAGCTCTGGATAATGGCTTTGTTGTCTTAGAAACTGCCCAAAATTTATAAATAATGTCTTATTACAAGGAGACAAAATGTACTTGCAAGCTCTGAATGATTGCTTTGTTGTCTTAGAACCTGCTGTCGAATTCTTATCTGTCGATAATTTACCTAAACTTGTCAGTGTTTCAAGTTGTATACAAACATGTTTCTTACAAAATATGTGATTCTGTGATCGACACAAGTAATATACCACATGTAGTGCATGCAAAAACAACTACAACACCTGTGAATCCTTTTGATACACAAAATAATGATACTATAAACAGTCTGCCCATGGTGGTAGGACAAAATAATAGCATTCTATATCCATTGTAGTAGAGTCCATTGAGGCAAAAATATC